TATATGCAGGCTTTTATGAAATCTTACTTCATGCTTAATTTTGGTTTGATATGTTTAATTTTGTCGCAAAAGCTGTATATATCTGGCTAAAGGCATTGTACGAGTATGTATGGCAAGAAGCGTTAAATATGTTTAAATGAAACTATCGAAGTTTTCACTGGATAAGATTTAGGACGAAAGGTTTGTACTAAATGTATTTATCATACTTAATGCTGGTTTAACTTTCAGTTGAACTTTACTAATAGAACTAAATTAAGCTGTCACTGGAAGAGCTTGTTACTTATTTTTGTACAAGGCAGGGTTTACTTTCAGGTTGTGAAGCTTGATGTGAAACTTTTGAAGCTTTCATTCGATAAATTTTAGGGTGAAAGCTTTGTACTTTGAGAGTGAAGCTTTTAAGTTATATACTTTTGTTGGCTCTAGTACATTGTTCTTGCACATAGAAAAGCTTTATGGGTCAGACTACACATAGCCTAGTACAGAGATAGCCTAGTAATTGTGTAAAGAAAGTATAAGTTGCAATAAATATTGCCACAAGAGTGCTGCGGTGTAATTGTAGTAGTGAAAAAATACTTTCTTTTGTCGAAAATCGAAAAGGGAGAGCACAAAAATTCATTATTGATATGATTATAAGGCTTTGTTAAATTGTGTACCATACAAGATAATCAAAAAAATATAATTTGTTTTGCAAGATATTTCAAAGATAAAAAGTGCTTTTAGATATTATCATTAGAGCTTTCAAAAGGTTTATTCAGCTTTCGTTGGGAAAATTTAACAAACACATTTAGGTGTACTTATTTGAAGCTTTTATTCAAGCGATAAAAAGTGTATCTTATACATAATCAAAAAAGCTTTCAAAGAGCTTTCCTATATTTTCTAAAGAGCTGTCGCGGCTAGTCACTCAGCTTCGTTTTCAAATTTTCACAATAATGTTTGTGGGCCATCATGGCACGTTGATTTTTTTTATACATGTTTTAATCGGTTTTCAGGAGCTTCCCAATGTTTTTTATAGAGCTTTCGAACTTTTCTCTTAGTTTTTGGTATGAAAATTCAACTAACTAGATTTGCATGTAGGGATATGCCATATATAATGCAAAAAGCTTTTAAAGGAACTTTTCTATATTTTCTATAAACCTTTCGAAGCTTTTATTCTGAAAATTCGACAAATAAGTTTATATAACGACAAAAGAATTTAAAGAGTTTTCCTATCTTCGCTGTAGGGCCATAGTTAAATTTTGATTCTGAGAATTTTAAAAAGTGTTTTGGCGCTTACAGTGAAAGCATGTAAGAATATTTTAAACTTATTAAAAGCTTTTCCATACTTTGTAGAGATCTTTTAAGGTTTCAGTTTTTACTGTTAGAATTTTAGATACTTTTAAGCGCTTATCGTGAAGGCATTTAAGAGCATTTCATAAAAAATTTCAAAAGCTAATTAAAGCTTTATCATATCTTCTAGAGCGCTTTCATTCAGTTTTGTGAGAGCTTTCACAACTTTAATTGAACATACAATTTTGCTTTGAATCTTTCACAAACACTTTTTAGTACTTACGCTAAAAGCATAAACAAATATAAATACATATTTTAAGTATTTAATTAAACTGCATACTAAACTAATTTACTCTGAATATATTACACATAATATAAATAACTCGCAGCTCATTACCAATTCTGAAAAGCAACACTATGCAACAACCAACCAATTTATTTATTTAATAAATATTTTCTTAATCAAACCAATATTTCACTTACGTACGCAAGTTATTAAAAAATATATTATATATTTATATATATGTGAAAAAACGAACTGGTTGCAGCAACAAATTGCAAGCAGCAAAAAGTTGTATAAGAGATTTTGGAAAAAAACTCGCTTCAACAATTTTTATTAATTAACTAACTTATTATTTGAATAAATTCAACTCCAAACTGACATTGAACAACACAAAATAGCTGTTTTTACACATATTGAGTAAACATTTGTTTGTTTTTGTAATTTTTGGTTTTTTGCAGCAATTTTTAGTTTCTAATAATATGTTTTTCGTTAATAATTTTAGTTATTTTATATTTTCTTTTAATTACACAAACAAAAACCAAACTAAATGCGAAAAAATATATTTATGTTTATATATTTATGTATATTTGTAAACAAACTCACATAATTGCAAATTTTTTACACAAATTCATTTAACGGGACGTAAAATTTTCTCTTTACAAAACAACAATCTCACTGGTTTTATATACAGGGTGATGTGTGGTTGATTTTATTTTTTACTTTGATGCCGTTGTGATGCTTTTTTCAAATATTTGTACATTGTATTTTTTAAATTAAAATTATTGATTATGTTTTTAGAACTTTTTAAATTAAAAATATTGTATGTTTCTAGAAATTAAGTTTTATCAGAAACATAGTAAACAAAGTAGAATTGTCAATTTCAAATGAATTAGAACAAAACCATGAAACTACAGAGAGAGAACGGTTGTTTGAAATTTACAATTTCGCTTATTAATAGAATTATGAATATTTATATTTATTGCTTAGTTGCTATAAAGAACATATTTACAATTCAAATAACAATTTGCGAGTATGTACTATGTTAGGGACAGCTGAGTTTTGATTTGAGTTTGATGTTTCTTGCTGAGTTTATTTAAAGTCTCAAAGAGCCAAAAAAATTTTCAAAAATTTCGTTTAAAAAAATCTCAGTTATTAGGTAAAGAGCGAAGAAACAAGCTGCAAAAATTTATATTTACGAAAATATTGAATACTTTTTAATAAAAACGAATATTGCGGTAGAAAGGATTTTATTTGGTCCATTTGTTTCGTGATGTATGCTCTGTTCTTTCACTAATGCTCGTAAAACATAAACAGGTCCAACTATCTTTAGAAATGTGCTTCCGAATTGTGTATAATTATTTACTCACTTTGAACTACAATATATTCGCGCGTCTTCTCATTTGAAATCAGAACTGGAACTGATTCAGAGCAGAGAACAGTTACTAAGTTCTGAAGAAATTCATTGGTTGCTCATAAATAAACGCATTAAAAGTCAAAGAAATGCTGACCATTAAAAAGGATTCGAATGCTTGTCGAAATTAGAAAATATTTTATATTTGAACTTTGGAAATACTATTGAGAACTAAAAACATAGCAAATGCTTATTATACACTTTCCTAGAAGTGTGGACAGAGAGAGCGTATGAGCTTTGCTCGGCTCGTAGTATTTTTGTTCTCCGTTTTTCACCTAAATACTGAAAAAAGTTCTAGGCATTTTAGGGGCTAGTACTAGCTAAGGATAAAGTAGTTATTGTTTTAGTTATTATATTAACCACTGTCTCTGCTATTATTGTGTTATTACAATTATAAATAATATTTTATTGTTGTTTATAAAAATTATTAGAGTATAATTGACATCGTTATAAGCAATCATGCTTAGGAAGCTAACGAAAAAGCATATCAATACTTAATATATCGACATGCTTGAAATGAATTCATGGTTATCGGGTGGATTATTAAACATGGGACTAAAGAAAAATTTCATTAATAAGTAATATCGATAACAAAATATCGATAACTTTAATGGAAATTAATGAATTTTCAAAGTTCAATTTAAAAATTACTTTTTAAGAATGCTGAACAAATATAAAGACAATCAGATAGTAAATGACATGTCTTAAATCCCTAAACTTAATATCGATAAAACGATGACTTTGGAATTGCCTACATAGATTATCAGAGCATATGTAAATGAAAGGTCTAAAATCCTCCAAAATAATTTGGGCCTGGCTTAAGTATTAAAAATTAAAGGAAACATATTTCATATGTACAATATATCGATATGCTTGAAACGCGTCGATAGTTGTTTAATGAAAACAATGGATATTTATAAAAATTTGGCGATAAAAGAAGAGTGTTTATCGAATATTATATGTATCGATATATAATTTCCAACATTATCGATTATAAAATAACGACACAGTTTGCGAAAAATATCGAAATAATCTTAATTTAAAATTTTAGTTCAGAACTAAGGCTTGTCAATGCGCTATTTTAATTTATGAGTTATTATATTTCAAAGTACAAGGTTTCGACTATTTTGAACTAGACTAAAACCGTTCTCTTACTATCTATCACCCTGTATATATATTGGCAACTGAAAATACTATGCACACTCGCAGAAGCAAGAACAATTTGTATTTTACTATAGAACATAGGTAAGTTCCAATATATTAATATCTTTTTTTAGATCCAATTCTTTACAATAAAAACAAAGCAACTTGGCAAATTATGAATTTTAATCAAGCTTCTAATTAAAAAAAAATATATATATATATTTATATAATTTCATCAAAATTATTTTGAAGACATTTTAAATTAAATACTATTGAGCAATCAAGCAGCATGAATAACAGCCAAGTAAAATTTTGAAACTGAAGCAAGACTAATAACAATAAACGCAATTTAAGGATCAATATTTTTAACTCAAATGCAACAATAATTTTCTCTGTTTTTGGTTTTAAATATATATGATAATTGTAAAATTTGTTTAAAATTTTTAAATGCGTTTTTGGAAAAAATTTTGTTAATTTTAGTAAGAGTAAACAACGTAAAACGGAATTTTGCAAATTTTCTTGCTCTTGTTTTTACTATTCTCAAATTAAGCGCTTTGAAGCTTCTAGATTTTCATTGATTTATTTGTTTTGCTTTTTTATGTTACGATTATTCTTTTTTAAATTTTATTAAATTATATGCTTCAAACTTATTCATTATTAAAGGTTAGTGTTATTTGTTATAGGAGAAGGGAAAGCGGTAATATTTCTTTTGGTTTCTTGTGGTGTTCGGATTTGGGGATTTTTTGGGGATATTTATTATCGGAATGGGCTTGCACAATTTTGTGAGCGTGTGTGTGTGTGCGGGTGAGTATGTATTAGGTGGTGGTGGTGGTGGTTGTGGTTGGATGGGAGGATCTTAGGAAGTGCAAAACACTAATGGAAACGTTATGAACTCACCATCATGTAGCGGATCTATTGTGTGTATCATAAGCTGCAATAGGCCATGACGGAATTTTGCACCGGTGTGTGTACTACCAGCAGTTCCACCACTGCTATTACCTGTTGCGCCAGCGCCGCTGCTCGATCCCGGCGGTCCAGAGCGTGTCTCCGATGCGGCACGCGATGTCACCGAGCCGCCCGGTTGTGTGGCCATTGAAGTCTCCGATGAATTCGCCGCATTGCCCTGTTTGAGTAATGAACGATTTGTTGTTGTTGTATCGGTTGCGGTTTGATAGTAGTAGTAGAGGCAGTTGTTGTGTTTGTAGAGTGGTGTTGTTGTTGGATTTTATTAAAAGTTGTTAAGGAAAAAGTTGTTTTAAGTTGGTTGTTCGTTGTTGTTGTTTGTTTCAAAAAAGAGATGAGAGAGAAAGAGAGAAAAGAGCAAACATGTTTGTGTTGTTGAGAGACAATTTTTGTTGTTGTTTTTTGGTTTCAAGGAGCGTAAATAAGTAAAGGCGACGAAAGAAAGAGAGAGAGAGAGACGGGAGATTATATAAGAAAAAAGCGAATAGAAGAGAAAAAAGTGTAAAAAGAAATTTATATATATATATATATATATTTATTTAAAATTTTTATAGCATAACAATCTATAAATATATTTACTTATACATATACTTATGTTAGAGCTTAATTTATTTAAGTTAGTTTCTTATATAAGAATAAAGATGTGCAACGAAAATGCTCTGCTTACTTTTTCAAGATTCTTAATTTCTTATGATTCTTCCTTTCTATAGATTCAGAGAAATTTATGTTTTTTATGATTTACTCAGTTTCGGTTTTCAAAATTTGTTATAGTTGAAGTTAAAAAATATTTTGAAATCCTTAAATTAAATCTTTTTGACAGCTTGCTTATTGAAGAATATCCTCGTTATTCCATACAAGGTCTAATTTTGATAGGTCAGTTTGTATGGCAGCTATATGCTATAGTGATCCGATATCGGCGGTTCCAACAAATCAGCAGCTTCTTGGAGTGAAATGGACGTGTGGGTTATTTCTGATCGGTATCTCATGAACTGTGGGACTAGTTCGCGTATATACAAGTTAAATCGACTCAGCTTGTTATGCTGATCATTATATATATATAATATTATATATAATATAATTTATAGATTCTCCGACGTTTCCTTATGGCAATTAGAAACTTCGTGACAATCTTAATATACTTTGTTCAGTGTATCAAGATAGTAAATAATTTAGATATACAGATGGCAACTATACTCCACCAAGTTCTTTGAGAACACCCGCTTTTGTCTTTCCAGTGTTAGGCGAAAAGAACGTGCAACTGACATAATTTTAACAGTTGTGTAGTACTGAAAAAGAGTACACAAAATTGTCATAGATATGAAAGACGAAAATTAGACTTCGAAGATGTCAAGTCTGGAATTCAGTTATAAATATTTGATATTTCTCTTACATATAAAGTGGAGCTTTAATATAACGGGCTAAAACCGATCGGATTTGTTAGATTCGAAGGATTTGAGCATGTTTAGTTGAGAATACAAGGGAATTGAGTCCAATCACAAAACAAGGTGCAAAATTCAGTCAGACACTGAGAGTCACTCTCTGTTGTTGTTGTTGTTGTAGCGGCAGAATTTTGTCGAGTTGGCAGTCCTTGGCCGGAAAAAATCCGGGTCCGTTCCAATTACGTAGACCCGACTGTTATGGAAACGGAGAGTCACTCTTAAACTTCTCTCTTTCGGGTCTCTTATTACTGCCTATACTATATTAGATGTGTGCAGAAAATCCCCCTTTTTTTAATAGGATAGGTTAGGTCAGACTGGTAGGCACATATAGATCAGTTTTAGTCCTTAGCGATACCAGATGAAGCGCTGTCACGTAGTCCATGAGTGGTCTCACTAACGATACTTTTTCTAGTACCGTGCGGCCCCCAAATGGTTTAAGCGACCCCTTGTCGATGCGGGACAAGGGATCAAGAAATGCTCCATTTTTTCCCTACTACCTTACTCTTAAAATTTCTTTAAAAGTGTGTACCGCCACCAGACTCTGAGCAATCAGCATTCCAGCCATGTTTCTACAGTCACTGTTATCGACTTTCTGTTTTTCTAATCTATACATGAGTTTTGCAATTTTACACCTCGGTAAATCGTTCCATCCCATTTTGACCTTCATTGGCCTGTTCCTGTCCAGATCGTCGTATCGACAAAAGATGGGCTTATTGATATCGGTCTCCGTTTTTGTTAATCTTTTTTTTATTTTTGTGAAAATTTTATGTCAAGAGACACACGGTTCCTGAGAATAATTATAATAGAGGTCTATTTTAACATCAAAAATCGAGGCAGCAAAATGATTTATTCGTTTATATTTAATATTTTCTGAATAAAGACATTACAGGAGGAGGATGCAACGATTCGGGTAGCATCAGCAATTTTTTTTTTAATGTATTCTTTTTCGAAGGATGAGTGGAATTTAAAACAAAAATATTTTTATTAGAGACCTCACACTTGATATGGTCTAGAAACTTATATTTAAAATTTTCTAAATTTCTCATACTTGTAGAAGTTTATATAGGATTTCAAGTTAAAAGCTCGATCGATCTACCAGGTTTTTTTGGCGAAAATGAAACACTAATTTTGAATGTGAAAGTAAACAAATATTTTTCAAAGTATTGACCATTACTTTTTACACATTTTGACTACCTTTCCGGCAATTTGTGTTTTGTATTCACAAATGAATGTTCCCTACCAATACATTTGTATTCTTAACGCTCACTTCATACCGGTACACTTGGTATACAAACTGGAACTTCCTATTTAAAAAATATTTAAAGCTGACCTCAAGCTAAAGAGAGAATCTGTTGTCAGTTTTGATTTGGTATAAATATACTCGGAAATTTGTCATTGCCTATAACAAAATTTAAAAAAACTTCAATTAAAACTTTGATTTGGTTCGGTGACTGCTAACGAAACCGACCCTGCCAAGTGGAAGCTTTAAAAACTGGTTGGTCGATACCCAGAGTTCCAAAAAAAATTATTCGAAGCTTTTCAATATTACAGAATTTCGATATGGTCGGTCTGTGGATCCTCGGTATGTTAAATAGTAAAACAAGATAAATATGATATACAATATAATAGATATATATATATCAACTTAAATAATATTCACATATTAAGAGACACAATCGGTTCAATAAATATAATATATAATAGACTGATTTTTTACTCGTATATTCATGGTAATAATACTCAAACATAAGGTGATATAATATTAAAAAGTCGGTTTGATTTCACGCAATATTTGTACGTATGTTACTAGTGTCATCCTTATATAATCTCATTAGGAATTACATATATATATATTCAATATTTTTTAAAGCAGTATGTTTTCTTTCATTACATTGTCATTTCACATCTTTATCATATACCCTTAAAACTAGTTTTTCTAATCGTATGTTGCCAATTACTGGTTTCAAAAAGAAAATAAATATACGTATATAAGTATATATAAAAATTAACTGAAGTAAAAAAATAAAAATTTAAATAAAACTTAAATTTTACCAAAATATTTTACACTTAACACCATACAAATATTCTTACAACACACATTAAACATCGAAAATGAAAAATGAAAAAGTTTTCAAAAATATTTTTTAGGTGTGTTTGGTATGCGACAAATAGAAGAATATCATATCAGGAAGCACATATTAGTTGTGGTTTGCAAATAAATTCAATCCGTTGCAATTTTCAATTAATTTTTTTGGTGAGGGAACAAGTAAAGCGTTTGATTAGACACTCTAAAGACATTGAATTGAAGACTGTGTTGTTTAAGAAATTTCAACAAATATATTTATATTAAATTTTTTTTGTTTTTATATAAAATAGGTTAAAAGTAATTATTAAAAGAATATAAGAAGCTATATAGCTAAACTATAAATAGTAAACGTAGTTTTAAACTTAATTAACGGTACTGAGATGCCTGAAGGTGTTTGAAATATTTATATTTGGAATCACATAATTCAGAATTGTACTTTATAAATTCATATTTGAAGCACAACCATTTAAGGTTAAAAATATTTCAAAAATATTTTTTTTGGTACTACAAGCTTTATTTAGAATTAACCCTATATCTGATTTATTTTTTTTGTTACAATTATTGAGCTTCAAGTTTTAATAGAAACTTTTTATAAAATAAAATTTAAAAATTTATGAAAAGCTTTCAGGATTAAGTAGAAGTTTTTGAGAAAGCTTCACAAAAGCTCAGATCTTATTCAAAGTTAAGCCAGTTCTCTAAAGTCTGCTTCAAACAGAAATTTGAGAAGCGCTTCAAAAATAGGGTTATCCAATTCATTTAGCGGTCATAACGCCAATTCGATTTTTTTAAAAGTTCGCGCCTTCTAAACTTGTTTAAAAAGTTTCATGTTTTTTAATTTTATGTAAAGCTTTTTCTTAAAATTTGCATTTTCGATTGCTTTATTAAACTTTGCTATTCGCCATTGCTTAGAAGCTTTTTCAGTGCTTAAAAGCTTTTACTTTATACTGAGATCATTGGTTTAATATGTTTTTCTACTTTTGCTAATAATCCAACTAAATATATTTTTCAAAAAAATTTCGTGTTTATTGCATGAAAGCTCTCAAAAGCACTAAGGGTGTGTTCAATAAAAGTTTCAATAAGTTCTGGTAGATTTGAACAAAGCTTTCTTCTCAATTAAAATAAAAATGTGCTTTGTGCTCCAAAGCTTTAGAAGCTATAAACATAGATCATTAAAAGTTGTAAGTACAATTAACACAGGCGTTTTGTTAAGCTTAAATTAGACAAAAATATGTACAAAAAAATACTAAAATTGTAAAGAAAACAAATGGAAATAAAATATTATTTGCTTGAGTTTTTGAATTTTCTTAGTCATTAGTTACGTTAAGTGAAATTAGAAATTTTCATAATTATATACAATATAAATACATATATATATTTTCAAATAAATATATACGCTTATTAGTAAAGCTTTATTAATACAAGATAAAGCATAGAAATAAATAAGAAAATTAGGAAAGAAAAGATTATTTTCAACTAGTTGGTAGTAGTTAGTTAGTTTTGTAAAAGCGCAGTGGGAAGTTTTTGTTGTATTTAGTTATCAATTATTTGTTTGACTTCATTGCAGTCATTCAGTTTTGGTTGTAATATAGTAATTAACTCACTTCTTTTTAGTACGCATTGAAGTTAAACTAATTG